TGGCTCACTCTCACCAGGTGATGAGCATGAACCTTCTCAAATAAATGTCTTCTTGTCTATATCACCTATCACCTTGTGATGTGGGTTATCTCACTCCCTATTGATGCCAAAAATTAGGAGATTTTGACAATGAATTCAAAGCACGGCATTTATTCACCATTTATAAAATATTTCTTTGTCAAATTGATTACTTAGCAACTTGGGAACAGATTTAATCAGTCATACATTGATACATTGCACAGTATCTTATGCAGAAGAAGTTAGATAATTTTAGCAAAACAAAACAACCCACCAGACTCAGTGGGATTACTGGTGTCATAATCTCAATCAAATTTTCTTAATCTCAGGATTAAATAAACATGAGAAAGATAGAACAAGTCTCAGATGCGAACACAATCATAAAGACAGACCACAAGAATAATCCTTGAAAAACTGGCCTTTATCAAGCTGACAGAGAACTTGGTTGTGACTTCTGTATCTTAAAGATATGTAAATATGTCAAAGTCTCAGAAAATATTGAGATTTCTTCAAATCTGATTTTGCCTTAATGAGAAGCTAACCAGTGAATGAGGGCAGAAAGGGAAGGGGGAGTTTGTTTTGTGTGACTATTGGAGCCTAAGACATCTGTATATATATCCTCCCTCATTTGCAGCTGAGTATTTCAGCCTTTCTGCTTTTCTTTGTTCCTTTGTTATAAAAGTGTTGAGTTTCCAAATACATTATTTAAGATTAGTATGAAAATTTAATCTGAAGGAGGTTCTGGTTTTGGTATCCTAAAGTTTGCTATTACTTGGAAGATTTTTGTGCTGTTGTCATCTCCTCACTTCTCTTCTTCCCTATTTTTATTGTTATTTTTTTCTCAGTCATCATCTTCCATCAGCTGCAGCTTTTGTAGGTAGACTTCTGTGACAAAAGAGACTCTTCAGGAAAGAGTTCTGAAAATGGTCAGAATAATTTTACAGTAAGAAAATCTCTGGAGAATTTCCTGCTTGTCTGTTCTTATTCACACACAAACAGAACAGTAGAAATGATTGAGAATTTGCCTATTCCTATAGTGTAGCACTCCCTTTGCAGGTCTGGCTATGTGTACAATCGTCTTGTCCATATCTCTAAAATATACAGTGAGAGTCAGCACCATAAGCTAACCAATTTTTTGCAGCCACCTAAATATATTTTGCTGGTAGAAAGTGCCGTATTTTTGTGGGCAAGCAGAATAATTAGTTACTTAGTACTATGCTCATCTGATTTGATACTGCATATAATCAAGTTCTTATGGCTCCAGAATTTTAATTGCATGGAATCTCTGTAAGATGTTCTATCTTACAGAGATATCTATCCTTTGAAGTTGCAACATGCTGACCATTCAAGAGCCCATATGTTTTGCATGTAATAACACCAAACATTCACAGTCTAAGCATAATTGGAGAAGTATATTTTCCCAGAAGTAAAGGTTTTGAAGTCCTCAACTTATATGTCTTTTGCCTCTGTATTCCTTTGTCTCAATCAATTAGAACAATGAAAATAAACATCAAACTATGATTATCTTTATGATGAATTTCACCATTTTAGAAAGTAAAGATGAGAGTCTTCGGTCATCTGCCTAACCCACCACTTCCCAAAAGAGATCTCAGCTTTTAAAAATTATTCTCTGGTTGTTGTCTCTTGCAAATCAACAATGACCCTGCAGTGTTTGGTTTTTACCAGTGTAAATCTGGAGCATCTTCATTAATATTAGCAAAAAATTAATATCCTGGAACCTAAAGGGAGGTTTTACATCTTTCTACGCAATCATTAAAAGACCCCATAGAAATAGTTTTCTAACTACAATCCAGCCCACTGAATCATATGAAGAATAGTGTTAAAATTAGAGCACAGTATTAAATAATAATCTGACAAGAATAATTCTGAGACTTTTAGTTGGTATACACTGCACCAGCATTATTTATTTCTGATCAGCTAGCAAAGTACCTCATGCAGGTATACCTAAGTAAGTCACTTTCATTTAATTTACCATCTGAAGGACATGACAGCATCTGTACATTTTGAGATGTAATTGCTGTTATCCTTCAGCTTTTTGAAACAAACACAATCATCCTCCTGAATTACTGACTTTCCATGACAATTTTTTGAGGTTGCATTTTTTAAAACTAATATCTTTCAGACAGATCCTGAATAATGTAAGAGGATAAAGCCCACGTGAAAAAAGTCAAGAATTCAGAAATTAAATTTTAGCTGTCAAACTTTAACTTAGTTGTTCTTTATTCCCTTAATATTCTTCAAAGAAAATCCATTTCACTCTAGTTCATAAAGAACATTACCCTAGAGGACATACTACCTCTGACTTTTGTTTCAGGTTGATTTTTAAGTTGGAGCATTAAACCTAAAAAAACCCCCACATTGTAAGCAGCTATTATGAAGAACTGCTGCCAAACATGTGCTCCCTCCTTTTTTTTTTTTTTTAACCACCTATGTGAAAGAAAATAATTTCAGATCCAATCCTCAAGACAGATGTATGAGGGTAAGGCAGCCTTTTTCTGCAGGATTTAGAATGGAAAGACAAATTTAATGGAGAAGATGTTATCCCTGCTCTGATTTAGAAAAGTACCCAAACAACCATACACAAAGTAAAACATCATTTCCTCTGGAAATATTTCTGAGTACCACTTGTTTGCACATAAAAGTGTCTCAGAATTCCTGGTAATAGGACAGAGCATGGTTCAAGTTTTAATTACTTCTAAGGAAGCTTAAGCAGTATTGAACTTGCTGTAGAAATGCTGCAGAGATGGCTTGAAGGCACAAGTAATGACCCTATACACATCACTTAAGGTGAGGGCTGAAGTAGTATGCTCAATTCTGGCTTCTCTTGTGATTGTCAGTACACAGCGTATTTGTATCTGTGAACAAACTTTGGGATTTCATGGCTATTTAAATGGTGAGGTTCAGAGAGGAAAGACCATTAAAACTACTTATTTATTAGCAAGTTTTTAATGCTGAGCCAGAACTAACACCTAATGACTTCTAATTCCTTCATTACTGTTCTGAAAGTAAACCAGACATGCAACTGGCTTGGCAGCACTAGCTGAGCTCAGTCCAGGGGAAATGACAGATCTCTCATAATGGTGTATTTCATTAAATTTAATCCCAATTCCTAAACCATTCAAGGGATAGTATTTGAACTAAAATGACCTCAGAGTACTTGGTTCCATTCTTTCACTTCTGTTGTCTGCCACATCCAGACTGCCCTCAGATGTGTAGTTGTGAGCATAAGGATGCTAAAGAGAGAGACATGCCAAGGTACCTATGTTGTCTTGTTATTGGCATCTAAAAGGAAAGCTTTTACTTACTTTTATTGTACTTCTGAAAATGAGAGATAACCCAGGGAAGCTAACAGTTGAAAGCACCTGTAGATCAGAGATGGGACTGAAAATACTAATATTCATCTGAGATTTACATTGGGACCAAAGGGTATATAAGACCTAAGACCTCAGATGCATTTAGTACAACCTTCTCAAGGTATGTTTTCTGAGATAATCCTACTTCTTCCCTACTCCAACTCTAATTTATGTGTGCATTTGCTTTGTTTGTAGAACTTAATGACTTTTGAAACACACTATTTAGCAGGCAGCTTTAGCAAAATATCACATGTACAGTTAGTGTGCATACATTACAGCTGTACTAAGACAATAAAATGTAACAGAAGATCCCCTGAAAATATCTGTGTCTCTGAATGTCAATAATCTGCATATAAAAAGCCCCAAAGCACTGACTAACATGATAGATGGGGAATTAAGTGATGCAAATGCAGTCCTTAAGACAATACAGAGAAGAAGCTTTAGAAGCATTATTCTCTACTCTAAGAAAAAAGTTCAGCAAGCAAGGACACATCTCTTGCAGACTTTTAAGTCTATTATCTAAACCATTTTAAAAAATCTGATTTCATGCAATTTAGTTGAAGTTCAGATTAATGCAGGTTTAACTGGCCACATGCAAGAAAAGCTTCTTGTAAACCAATTCCCTTAATTGTCTAAAAAAGGATTGTTTAATTATTAAGCTAATGCAGTTTTATTTCCGCAGGAAATGGATCCAAATCCATCAGTGTGGATAAAATATTTTAAGTGGTGTCTCAAAATTTAAAGACTAAAGTTGATAGAGACTTTTCTGGCTTCTAAGTGCAGTTTCACTGCCTAGTGAATAAGATTCCATTCACTTCACAGACTACCCTGGTGCTCAGAATCACACTACTTATGGGTACAGTCAAAGCTGCTCTTGCACAGTGTGAATGTGGGAAGACACATATAGGGCAAGAACACCCAGCTCCAAGAACATAGGACCACCAGACCAGACCTCTCCTGTTTCTGCCCAGGACTTCTCAGATGGGCAGAGCTGAGCATCAGTATGGATGTGGTAGCTGCTGATTCATTAAAAAATAACCATATCATTGGAATGAGCATCAATGAATGGCATCAACTGGCATCCTTAGCTTTGGAACCTATACTAAGAACCTTAACAGAAGTATTTGATTATTAGCAGGATAAAATTTAGGACTGTGATTTCAAGAGGAGAGGTAACACATCCACACTATGCACATGTCCATCAGCAGAAGCTGATAGTCAGGATCATCTCCTAATGAACTAGTAGGAACCCTCTTAAGTTATCATAAAGGGTGAATGCTGGGCAAATGTCTTTTGTGAATGTCATACGATGAGTCTGTGGAAAAAAATTAGAGTTTTCTATGAATTTTATGACATGAGGTTTTAAAAGCAAAAGACATTTATTCTTCAGGAAGCAGCATCCTAGAACCATCATTAGGTATGTTTTTCTGGTTCATCGGGCCTTTTTAGCTGTTCCAAGCCAAGTGCCCATAAGGGTTGAGTAACACAAGGTGGAATTTCTCAGCCTGTGTGGTCAGAAGGTGTAGCTTTCCCTTTGTTTCCCCTTGCAGTAAGAGAGACTGTACATGCTGTTTTTAGACCTTTAGGGATTTGTATGTAGTGTCCTACCTGCAATGGATTTGGTGAAGTAAGAGGAGATGGAAGGCCATGCCCTGGTGATTGGCTGGGTTTCTGAGGGGAGCTGGAGGACTGTGAGGGTAGAGGTGGCTGGCTCTGGCTCTGGGGCTGTGTTTGGTTCTGCTGTGGTGGTGCTGATGGCTGTGGCTGTGATTGCTGGGTCTGCTGGGCTGGCTGTGGAGTCTGTGCCTGCTGAGCTTGCTGCTGCTGGCTTTGCTGCTGCTGCTGCTGCTGTTGATGCTGGAGCTGCTGAAGATGCTGAAGCTGTTGAAGCTGGGAGTTCAGGGATGAGGTAGCTGTGAATTGAAGAGAGGGAAGGGAGTTATACAAGTTTCAGTAATACCTACTGCATTAAAAGTATTCTGGATAAAATTCTGGTTCTGTTACTTTGAGGGACACACTGCTTAGAAGACAGCTGGCCCTAGAATTCAGGATGTGTGAGGAAATTGTTCCCATCAATAATAGCCTGTGGTTCTGCCTGTGTAATTCTGTGGTAAAGAGCCAGATTCCCTGGGAGCAATGAAAGCAAACCTTTGAAAGGGCTAGAGGTCTGCCCACAGAATGGGGCTCAGAGCTGACCAGGAGGGACTCAGACAAGTTTACCAGTGAAGCCAATAGGAATATTCTCTGCCTATAGAAGAGAGGAACAGATTGTCACTGTACTTGTAAGTATAGCAAGAACTCATAACATGAACCACTGCTATTATGTAAAGGAGGAGAAAGTCATCGTCATAAAAGGAAGGATACTCTGAAAAGAACTTTGTCATGTCATTATGCAGTAGGTATCAGGAAATAAAACATTCAGCTGTGAAATTTCTTGTGTGATGCCTAGGAAGCAAAAAATATCTAATAAAATGTGTGTCCCTCTGAAATAAGAACTGCTTCTTATAATTCACATCTAAAAGCTATAAATTCCTTCATGTAACTTGCACTGCTCACTTACTCCTGATAGTTAAGATCTGTTGTGCAGCATATGCTTCAACCATGATGTTTGGAAGTGCATGGCTCACATCAGTCTGCTAGCACAAAAGGCAAACTTTGTTTCGCAGAGACACTTTCTAACTGACTAGGACATTCATTAAATTCAGGAAGACAGGAAGTGTGTCATAGGGATGTCACTAAGAAAGAATAGCTTTAAGCTGCAGCAAGAGCATCACAAAAGACTGATGCTTTCTGGGATTATGTCCTGAACAAGTCACCTCAGTCTCCAGCCATAGAGACGTTAATCAACATCTTAAGGGTTGAATTAGTTAGCTGTAAGATCCCAAGAGAAACAACTTGCGAGGTCATTATGACATTTTTTGCTCTATATACTGCTTTGCCAGCACCACCTTGTATTCTAATTGCACAGAAGCAAAAGTAAATTGGGAATGGATTAAATTTGTTATTTTTAAAATGGCACTCAGATTTCATGGCCAGAAACTCTGTAGATCAAGTTATTTGTGGACTGGCAGATAAAGCCAAGTCATCTCCACTTTCTTTTCATGCCGACATCCCTATTTCAGCCTTCTAGATGTCTACGCCCTGAGGCTGAACCTGAGGTCTAGGTGCAATTTATGAAATCAATGAGCCATAAACTGGAATAAGAAAAAGAAAAAAGAAAAGAAAATGGAGAAAGATGAGGCAGAAAGAATAAACCAGAAAAGGCTGTGAGAAGGAAAAGTATAAGACTTGATAGGAAGAGCTGTTGGCTCTCCATTCCCATGCTCATAGCTGGTCTAAATTTTCTTTCAACAGATGCAGAAATCAAACTAGAAATATGCTTTAACAAGAATTATAGCCATGTGTATGTGACTTCAGCAAAGAATCCTAATAATTCAAAGGAGGACTGATAACACCAATATATTTCTATCAAGAAAATTACTCATAGAATTTTTATGTTTCAACACAAGGCAAAGTGACCATCAGATTAAAAACATGCATGGTATCTCATGCAAAAGAAATCACCCTGGAGAAGTAAGGGAACACTCCCATCAATTTCCCAATGAGAATTTGTAACTAAATGCCCCAAAGCCAACAGGGTAGTGAGTGGAAATATAATCCAAGGCATGTGAGAACCAAGAAGGTGCGTATACAAGAAAGCAACTTCACAGATTAATTAATGATTCATATCAAGAATCATCTCAGATGGCAAGGAAAACCATTCACCAATTCTATCTGTAGAGGCAGAAAGATCCTTACCATTCCCACAAGGAAAAAATAAATCTAGACCAACTCTTTCTATTGTTCAGGCTATTTCTTCACCTGTGATAGCTTAGCAGACTAGATGAACCACTGATAACCAGAACCAAGATTTCAAACTGACTCTTACTGAATCCACAGACTCCAACAGAGAAATTAATTAAATGACATCCCACAGACGCATAACTTCTAATCCACATGGCTCATGAAGAGGAATGAGGGACTGTTTTATGTTATGTGTGCACAACTGGACAGGAGGAGACAAAACCTTCTTATCTAGGACTGGAAAGGTTTGCTTTCAGTACTGCTCAACACCTGAATATTGGTGAAAGCAGGAAGATCAATATTCTACCATTCACTTTTGTACTGGAAATGAAAACATTCTTGCTGGGGTAGAAGATATATCCCTGAAGGATAATCTGATTAATTACTTCATGGAAAGGTTTCCGAGTTTATTGCCAGCAACTGCACAAAAATATTCAAATAACTTCTTGTGTTTTCATGTCATTCCTTTAAAAAGCCTCTCTGAAGCCCATCACCACGCTGAGCTATAAATAGTATTGAAGTGGCTTAGAGAGGTATGATTGTTTAATATGCTGTTGCTAAACAAACAGATAAGGAATTGGAAGGACTGTTAGATCAGCAAAGGTGTTCTGAAAGCCACACAGTAGGTGCACCATGAAGGTGGATTTAGGGCTGTGGATCATGCCTGTAGTCTGATGTTCATGCTGCCAGATTGCACCTCCTCTCACAATGTGTGTACTATCCACAGCAGGGGTTGTATCATATTATTGTTTGCAATCAAATCCAATCCAACTCCCAGAGTTGCTTGCATAGCTCATCCATTATAAATAGTATACCTGTCTAGCATTTGTCACTTTCTGCAGAGCTTGGAGCCTGATGGAATTTCAGGTGGTACAACAGTGCTATGTCTGCATGTATAAAAAATAACATGCACTGCCTACCTCATAGGAATCTGGCTAACAGTTGGGTAAAACGTCGACATATTTTAGTGAAAAGTGCTACTTTCACAATTGCATTCAAGAATTAAAAATGCTTGCAAAGAATCGCAGAAAGTTCTTTTTATGGCTAGAAAGTTCACCATAAAGAACATTACTTTAAAAGAGAGACACAGCTAAAACTGTATGCAAGCAATAAAAAACTGTGAGGAAAATCCACAAAAGCTGCGTGACATTTCAACTCTCTGTAAAAAAATACATGTTGCATATATACCAGGTATCCAAGATGATGGTAAATATAACTGATATCTATGAGGAAACAATTGCGTGTGGGGTTTTAAAACCTATCATTCAACAAACTTCTTGCTTGCTGTGGTGTTGTGGCAGACTTTCCATGAGATCACCACACAGTTCATGATCCTACTTTAAGCAGATTATACGTACTCATGGTATCAAAGCAGATACATTAGAATAAGAGGCATGGAGCTCAGTGGTGGATATCAAGAGGCAGTGAAAGCAAACTTTCTGATCTCCTAGGTCATCTACTGTGATACTTGTCACAGATCTCAGGCTACTTTGTGGATTAGACAAAGTTACGACCAAAGGTACATACTCCTCCTCGACTTCCTTTGGGGGATACCTTAGGTATAGTGCTGCCATGCATTTACAATATTCACACAAAATGTGTCATTTCTTATTCTATTCCTCTGCTGGTTACCTACACAGGAAACTAACATGAAATGAAAATGCCCTTCTGCCAAATAGAGTGTTACAGGGGAAAATTCACCTCTGAGGCAACCATGCTGAAAGAAGCAGTCTGATCCATAACAGGGGGATGAGTGAAGTTTGGTTGCAGCAAGCAAACTGAAGAGGCTCTGTCTTCATTTCCCAAGTCTGATTAATGGAAAATAGTAGCAATTGTCTGCTGCCTCTGGCTAACATGTTGTGACATAAGTAGGGGAATATCCCTGGTTTTACTTTAGGTTAAAACATACATTTTAAAGTTTAATCATGATTCTCCAAAAAGCAAGGAATATAAGTGTGCTCACAAATGTTTATGTAATGAAAACAATTTAAAATTAGGACTCCTCTTCCACTTTTCCTTCAGAATATAAACTCAGATTCTTAAGACCTCTACAGTGTTTGGCAGAAGATCAAATTAATATTCAGGGATTCAAATTGTATCTAGAATCTGCTCTTGTGGATAACCTTCATATAAATTCTTATTTATTTTCTTAATGTTTTGTGGATGTTTGTTTCTGTGTAAAGAGGAAGGAGGGGTAGGAGGAATAAGAAACAATTTTAGCTTACAAACAATTGTGCTACTCTAGCTTCTCTCCTCCTTTTTACGTAATTGCACAGTTGTTCTTCAGTGCCTTGATACAATATACAATGGACTAAAAAGAAGAAAATCATACATTAAACCTTTTCTTATTTGACTGAGCACAGATCTTGACTCCTGTCATTTCAAGGGCTTAATGCCTTTTTCCACTTCCCCTGTAATGGAGAATGGATTTGCATTGCCTTAAACTAAAAAGTGTAACTAACTTTAGCATTGTGTTTGAACTGACATGGCTCGCTTTTTTTTCCACCCTATTGTTTCTTTTCTAATGAGGTTTATGCCTTTCTTTTCTTTGAAACAGATTTCTAAAGATTGAATACACACACTGAACAATCTAATGCAAGCTCACATTTACATTCTCTCCCTCCTGGGTAATGAGGGGTAGGTTAGCCAAATACCCATGTTTTTCCATACGCTTGGATTTTCTTCTTGAGAGTAAAATGTGAGTTCTTTTAAATATGTTAGCATTCTCTTTGCAAAAAAAAATCTCTTAAGGGTTGGACTTGTGGCTGAAGAGATTAGTAATGGGATACAGAGCATATTATTTCTAAATCACTGGCTCAAATTCAGTCTAGGTCAATATAGGGAACAAAAGTCATCGCCCTTTAATGGTGTATTTGCATGTTTTCTACTGTACAGAAGATGTATTAAATGTATAGAAGCCTTATTCACACACAGATATCCACAGAAAGCCTGCCTGCATTGGAAGAAGTTTGTCACACAATCAAGGTAATAAATTGATGGTCTCACAGCATTTAATGAGGAAGATCAAAAAGACTGTGGTCTTGAATGGCATCAATTGACATCATTATTT